CTCAGAAAAGTTTGGGTACTTACTCAGACATTTTGGCTGTTTATGATCTCCTGTTAGGATATATATACACACTGTATGTGTAGGACCAACATTATCTCAGAAAAGTTTGGGTACTTACTCAGACATTTTGGCTGTTTATGATCTCCTGTTAGGATAAACAAATGACTTTAGTTAATCACTAACAAAAATAAACTTTTATCAAAGCACAGCTAAACTGAAAACAACTTGTTGCTCCTTCAGTATTGATTAGCCAGTGTTTGACCTTTAGCAGGAAAAAGGATATGGTTTGTGCAAATGAAACCCAGCTGCCAGTCATCGTGTAGCAGCTAATTTTGACCAGGCAGGGTTGTGCTGCTGAGCTGGTCCTTCTGAAGACACGCTGCCTGGAGTTGGACTCGTTCCAGAGCCAAAGGAACAAAATGTCATGAGCACAGAAACATGATGTACGATCAAACATGCAGTGGAGCAGCTAACACTGATTTAATTAATGTGGGCATGTTAAACACCATCTGACTCCAGCTGTGTCCAGATGCTGCTCCTCCTCTCGTTTTTCAAGAATCGGTCAAATCAAAGGTGTCGAACAAACAAAACTCATGTAGTATGAAACAATTACAAATTTAAAGGTAATAAAAAACATATTTTTAAAACCCCCTGCACTGACATGAACAAGCTTTTTTTTAATTACTGTTGAAATTAACATTTTTGAAAAACTGGTGGTGATTCTTTATCAACACTAAAGTTTATTTTATCCCAGAAACTTGATGTGTTGATTTTAAAATGTGAACATTTTGTCATATGTTGTGTACTTTAACACAACAACTTGAAAAATCTGACCAAATAAAGTTTAATCTTGTTAAAGGTTTAATTTTTGATCCAAACATGAACATATTTGCCAACAACCTTTTTAATAAACAACGGGTAAGGTAAAATTAACTAAAAAAGCAACAACAACTCATAAAACAGTTAAAAGTTGTAGAAAATGTTCTAAAATATGATAATAAAACCAGTAAATTTTCTTTTTGACTAAAAAAAATTCATCATTTTCAGTGTTTTTTTTTACCACAAAGCCAAAGCTGTTCAAGCACAAGAAGTACCAAGCTGCAGCTGTATTCTAAAAACCCAAACACTCATCAATACTCACGTTTTTTTAAAAAAAGTGACGTCCCACCTGGACCACAGTGACTCTCAGAATTAGTCCCAGACAGAGTGAGCTGAGCCAGCTGTGGGAGAGAGCTCACTGACCGACAATGAGCTAAACAAGAAGGAAGTGAGGCCTGACCAAGTGCCAAATGTTAAAGAATAAACATGGTATATAGGGTGTTGGCTGCCAGCTCAGCTGGTAATCAGCCCTCTTTATGGTAGCAGAGACACTTCTGTCCAATGGCTCAGCAGAGTCCAGAAATACCTCCACTTTTCTCCGAAGGAACCTCGTAAATTTTAGCTGCAGAAAATCACCTCCTTAACAGGTTTCCTCCCTCTGAGGAAAGTAAAGGGTTAAAGAAATTATTTATTTATTGCTTATTTGTATAGGGACACGCATTAAGTAACACCTTACATACACTACATCGGGGGTGTCAACATCAGTTATACAAGAGGGACAGAATTTAAAACATGGTCCAAGCTCAGTGCCAACCTGTCAATATTCACTGAAAAATGTTATGTAACAAGCTTAAATACAAATTACCTTTACCAAATTATATGTTGTGCACCATTTAAGCCTATGCCGTTTGTAAAGTTACACAGTCAAAAATTACCACCAATAATTTTGTTTTATTTAGAAAAAAAGAACAGATGTATTTTTCAGTCAGTTTTTCACCATCTGATTCATACATTTATAAACGTCATAGTATATAAACTAAATATTTAACTTTAGTTAACAAGTTAAATATTTAACTTGTGACTTAAATATTTAGTTTTGAGCTAAATGTTTAGCTTGAACCTTAAATATTTAGCTAGCTACCTAAATATTTAAGTTGCAACTTAAATATTTAGCTAGCTGCCTAAATATCAAACTTAAATATTTAGCTAGCTACCTAAATATTTAAGTTGCAACTTAAATATTTAGCTAGCAAGTTAAATATTTGA